CACTTGACTTCATTCATCCTTTCTTCTTGTGCAGGATGAACATAATGGGACCATCACTACAACAAAGTTTTTCCTATCTTTTTTCTTCGGGCTCGGGAACCAATTCTTCCACCTTGCTTTCCGGAACACCATTACGAACTACTGATCCGGCTCAAGTCGAATTTGAGCAGCACACTTCCCTCTTACGACGCCTGACTAAAAGCCGGCGCTGCTTTTGACCACTCAGACTTCTTTTCAACTTCTTCTGTGCCTAGGTTTGCCAAATTTCACAGATACATAGCTAAAGATAATAGCTTCTATTATAAATGGTGTCGTAGCCCGCTGCCCTACCCCTTTGCTTTCCTGCCATTCCTCTATATGTCTCATTTTTGGTTGGGATGATCTAATACTAACGCAATGTTTTATTAAATTCAAATGTGACATAACAATTCAAAGACAAAATAATTTGCGAACCTTTGGAATATGCAGGTGCTCGTTCGAGACCTTCATAAGATGATTATAAGTTCTTACTTCGGCGTTATGACACTGGAACAATCAGATTGCAGTACTGGTAAAGGAGGAAAAATTGCAATTGATATCACCGCCACTGGCAGAGCAAGGCAGCCGGAGGCTAAACTCACCATAGTCACGCCGTCCCCGACTGACTGCGATTTTGGAAAACCAATCAATAGTGCAATAATTAGCTCAGTACGACGAGCCAGTCATTACTTTACATTTACATACTCTGAAGCCAAATTCCGGTACATTATCCTTCCGAAAAGAAGTCCGGATTTTTCCACATAGCGCCAAAAACAGTTATATTCTCAGAAATAGCAAAAAAAAACGATAAACGATAGTGTGGCCCATAACCTGTCTCAGACTTCTAATGTGAAATTGACACTGTATGTGAGGGAGGTGGGCATTGAAAAAGACGTCCTATGAAGCATCTCCCAAACACTTAAAGGCAGTTGGCACGATAAGTCCCCAAACACGAGTATAAGATTAATACACCTGGCAGGACTGAATTCCGACCCCCTGAGCAAGCGCTGTGTAGCACCTTTT